AATCTTGTTTTTAATACATTTGGTCAGTCCTAATAAATGATAAATTTGACCTAATAAGTCATTCCAAATTGTAAACATTTGTTTTTTTCTGGTTAAAATAGTGGCTTATACCTGATCGGTAGTTGCAGAGTCCAATATTTGTACTGGTTTGGCATTTATTTTCAAAAAAACTGATTTTGACATTGTGTTTGATATATTTGCTGTAAAATATTCTAAATGGTGAGTCTAGAGCACACAGCCATCCAACAAAGCTATACCTTGCTCAAACCACTCAAATGAAAATGCATAGTCTCAAATCATTTTCATTTCAGACTTATTTTGAGTAGTGGGTGAAACCGTAACAATGTCCTCAAGAATGAAGTTGCAGAAACTTCGCACAGACATGTTTGGAACAGGCTTCAGAGAGAAGGAGTGGTCAGACTTCACACGGCCCTCGTTTATAAGGACCACATTAACATTGAATGGGCTTTACTCTGCAGCTCAGGGCAGATAGACGAGGCCGTTTGGGTAATATGTCGCCAGGCATTTTGGCCAGTCACCACTCACAGCAGCTGTCCAACCGCTCCAATTTGGCCCATAGTAAAAAGCTATTAAATGTTAATTCACTGCTTATAAATGCTTAAGTGGAGGGCTCCAGGTAAAGAATAACCTTTTTAAAATTCTCCAAAAGCGAACACACGCACTGCAAAAACAGGATGTAGATGAGCTAAAGCCCAAAGACTGGTTATAATTTTTCTTTGGAATCATGCCATTGATTTGACATATCCAGGTTAGAGTATACTGATGGAAACCCGCAGTGCCCCGCGTATGATTATGTCGTCAAATAGAAGGACATGAACTTAAGCTAGCTGGAACCAATTTCCTTTTATGGGCATTTATTTCATGCAGAAAAAAGAGCAGATGTGTTGCTAAGACCGTTGCTAAGGCAAGCTGGAGTTTCCCCCACATGAAGGCATCAGATCGGTCAATCCTCATATGGCTCACAACTGGATTTACAAAGACAACTATAAGATATAAACTCCAGGATCACAGAGAGCACTATAGACCACAGATCTTTTAAGCCCAGAATGATGAGTGTAAAACAAACGGAGAGAAGATTATTATTCAATGTAAGCCAATAAAAGCCAGAGCAAGTTGGAGCAAAACTTTGTCCACGAGCATTCCCTACTGGACTTCTTTGAGTTAGTATTGTCCATTAATATACAGTCTATGGAGCACAGGGTACAGAGAGATACAGGGTACAGAGAGACACAGGGTACAGAGAGACACAGGGTATAGAGAGATACAGGGTACAGAGAGACACAGGGTACAGAGAGACACAGGGTACAGAGAGACACAGGGTACAGAGAGACACAGGGTACAGAGAGACACAGGGTACAGAGAGACACAGGGTACAGAGAGATACAGGGTACAGAGAGATACAGGGTACAGAGAGACACAGGGTACAGAGAGACACAGGGTACAGAGAGACACAGGGTACAGAGAGACACAGGGTACAGAGAGACACAGGGTACAGAGAGACACAGGGTACAGAGAGACACAGGGTACAGAGAGACACAGGGTACAGAGAGACACAGGGTACAGAGAGACACAGGGTACAGAGAGATACAGGGTACAGAGAGACACAGGGTACAGAGAGACACAGGGTACAGAGAGACACAGGGTACAGAGAGATACAGGGTACAGAGAGACACAGGGTACAGAGAGATACAGGGTACAAAGAGACACAGGGTACAGAGAGACACAGGGTACAGAGAGATACAGGGTACAGAGAGACACAGGGTACAGAGAGACACAGGGTACAGAGAGACACAGGGTACAGAGAGATACAGGGTACAGAGAGACACAGGGTACAGAGAGATACAGGGTACAAAGAGACACAGGGTACAGAGAGACACAGGGTACAGAGAGATACAGGGTACAGAGAGACACAGGGTACAGAGAGACACAGGGTACAGAGAGACACAGGGTACAGAGAGACACAGGGTACAGAGAGACCCAGGGTACAGAGAGATACAGGGTACAGAGAGACACAGGGTACAGAGAGACACAGGGTACAGAGAGACACAGGGTACAAAGAGACACAGGGTACAGAGAGATACAGGGTACAGAGAGATACAGGGTACAGAGAGACACAGGGTACAGAGAGACACAGGGTACAGAGAGACACAGGGTACAGAGAGACACAGGGTACAGAGAGACCCAGGGTACAGAGAGATACAGGGTACAGAGAGACACAGGGTACAGAGAGACACAGGGTACAAAGTGCTCCTCCCTATTTCTTGCTGGTCCATTGTCATTTGTCTCTGTGATTTTGCCCATGTTCAGTTTTGAATTGTTCTAGTTTCATTTTCACTTTGGAATGGAGATTTTCATCGTGAGTCCTTTTTTTAGTTTTCACTTCATGACATTTTGTTTACAATACATGGTATCTTTATTCAAAGAACATACCTTATTTAACCAAAAGTCAATGGCCCTCATTTATGAAACTTGCGAAGAA